TCGGTGGGAGTTAACTGTTTGTGCAGTTTTAAGCTCTGGGTGCAGATTAAAGTCCAGGACAGCACAAAAGGAGGAAGAAGCCTGCTCCAATAAAGGGCTGAAGGCTCCAGAAGCCAAAGGCGGAGCTGTCTGAAAAGTTAGAAATAACATCTTTTTCTCTTCTCCTCCCTTCTCGTGTTCCTTAGTGTTCAGCTCTGCCACTGGTGTCCAAGGCTTCAAAACGAAGAGGAAGCATAGCTTTCCTGGCGTCTACCCCTGGGTCACACTCCCAGCAGCTGGGCCACACGCCGGCCCAGCCACAAAGTGGCTGAGGGCCAGGTGGGGCCCTGGCGGAGCAGTTCACCCTCAGATGGGCTTGCCCGCCTCGTCCAGGGACTCCGCGACAGCCCAGGCCCCTGTCTGGGCTGCAGCAAGGCACCATCTTTTCTGTCCTCTTCTCCCAGAGGGGTACCCGCAGCATGGGAGCCCCCGCCCAAGACTTGGTCATAGAAAAATCTCAGCCAGGTGTGGCTCTACCCACCCTGGAGCACAGGCAGAATTCCAGCAGGGCCAGTAGCGCCCCTCAGCTGGGACATGAGGGGAGAAAAGTCATGGCTCTAGTGAGCTGAGCCCAACCCTCAGGACTCTTGGCCTTCCTTGCCCCAGGAGGATACCAGAGCAACATCCAAGAAGCACCAATGGAGGCTAAGAGTGTAATGAACAGACACACTCCCACACACATAAACACACACACACACGAGGAAAATGCTACAGCACCTGTGACAGCGGCTCTGGGGCTGGATCGGAGGGAACCTTCTCCAGGAAGTCACGTCTGCTCTGCCTTTGAATGATGTGAATGGGCTCTGGGGATGAAGCACAATCCTAAACCGCGGGACCCAAGCGCTTCTCATTTTACTGACCCTCTGAGCAGGGAGGTGAGCACCCATGACTTGCCAGACTTCTCCAGACACTCAGTGGCGTGGCCTTCCTGCGGGTACTTCCGCGGTGGGCCCGGCCCCCAGCACTGCCCACAGCCCTGTGGAGTGGTCCAGCTACTTCCCGCCTCACTGCCTCTGGCCTCTGCGGCCACTCAGCCCTGCCTCTTTCCTCCCCAGTCCAGTCCCTCTCTGAAAGTACGACCCGACCCAGGCCCTCTCGGACCCTGCTTTCCAGCACCTCCCAGCCCAGCCCACCTGGCGTCCCCCAGAAGTCCTCTGCCCAAAGCCCACTGAGCTGCCCCTGCATTCTGGACCTGCAGGAAGCACTGTGTCCCGAGAATCCCTAAGGCCCCTGATAGCAGGTGTGGTTCAGAGGAGGCTATAGTGCTTTCTCATCCTCTCATTGGATTCTCTAGAGCCCACGTTCAAGCAAGCGGACAGTCGGATTTTGCACGAGCTGCTCTTGGAAAGCATTCAGTTTTTGTCTCTGCTTTAAGGAAAAAATCAGTCTACAGTCCCTAGTTATTTTCTGTTTTGAGTTTGAATGAGACTGCAAACAGGATAATTGACTTGTAGGATTTGAGTTACACTGTGATGACATCCACAAGGTAGTCAGTCTCTCTCGAGCACAAATAGGAGCGAGGTTTCTGCTCCTGCTGACACCTCCTCTGAGAGCCATCAAGGGAGAAGTTCCCGTAGAGGGTTTGACGGGGCGACTCACCAATCACACAGTCCACCTGTCTTCTCCATCCCCTGCCATGGCAGCAACAAAAATGGCCAGGACAGGAGGGCGAAGGGGAGCATGTACAGGATGAATGGCACAGCTCAAGCCTGCTTCCCCAAGCTAAGCTGACAAGGCCTGCCACCCTCTCCAGAGGACCCAGTCCTGCTGCCTGGAAACCCAGAATTCAACCAGACAAGCACGCAGCATCGGTGGGCACAGCCGCTTGCCAGCGCTGGGGCCACCCTTAATATGGAAGTCTGGCTTCAAGCGGCACTGACCAGGCTGCCTGGGTGTCCGGCAGACCTGGCACCACCCCTGGGCACCCCAGCTGGCTTGTCCTGTGCTCCCCAGGCAGTGATGCCAAACCCTCCTCTCTAGCAGGAAGAATGGTTTGAAGGATCTCAATTCTCCCCCAGCAATATAGAAAGTTGTATCTCCTTCGAGAGGAAGAGTTTGGGGATCCCAGGCTAAAGGAGGGCCACCTTCACTCACAGTCCTGACACTCTGTCCATGACTGTCAGCAGCCCGTTCTCCCTTCCGTGGGGACCAGAGATCCCGGCTGGCTGATTCGGACCCGCTCCCCACTGCCTGGAAGGCAGACGACAGCACAAGGTACTGACCATGCAGGCAAAACACTTGTGTCCACGTCTTGACAAAGCTATTTTAACCACATCTCCACAGCAAAAACCTGTCTGTCTCCACGTGTGATGGCCCGTTTGCTGTCTTTTTTACAAAGCAAAACACATCAACCTCTCTGTTCACCTTTTAACTCTGAGATACAGAGGTCCAAGACGGGACCCAGTGGTCCCTGGTGGGTTTCTGCAGCTCCAGATGAAATCTAGGTGGCATTCCTTTCGTCTGATAAACACCACACTGAGGGCCTCAGGGGTCATCGAAGGAACTGTCACTGACTAAGGACAACGCCCCCCACCATGGGGTGCAGCCTGGACTCAAGATGAGGGAGACACCCCACTTCCTCCATCACTTCCATTACATCTTGGTGGAAGCAGGTCAACAGGAGGAAACAGAAAAATGGACTTTTTTTTTCCTGTTGCAGAAAGCTCAGACTAAATCAAGACATTTCTTCCCCTCCACTTGCTTCTCCTAGTAATTAACAAAGTATCAAATGTTTGCTTTTGTCCAAAGAGATTAAATATCCTAGAATTTCTTCAAAATAATATTTAGGTATAGTTTTTCAGCTCCCTTTCTAAAACTTCTAATATCACGACTTTTAATACTTTAGTGCCCTTACAAAAAAAATTCTTCATTGTGATGGGTCTCAGAGTAATCACTATGCAAATACTATTCAAATCACAGTTTAGAAAATGAGAGTGTCACTTCTCTGGCAAAATTCATAGATGTCTGCCTGTCACTGAAATTGACTGGAAGTGTACTGCAGCAGCTGCTTTGGGATTTTTGTTTTAATGTGAAGAGACTTGCATTTTCTGGTTATGGATAGCTACTTACATAGCCACAGCATATAAATTCACATTATAAATGTGCTTTCTCCTCCTTTGGGGGGATTTTAAAAGATTAAAAAGGACTCAGGTGGGGACCCTTAAATAAATGAGTTGTATCTAAATCTTTCAAATCTCTCTTTAAGAGTGTAATCTCTGAGAATGAAGATTTGTATAAATCGCCCTGGATCTTGGCATTCAAGACAAGAAAAGTAGTGAAGAATGCCTCTCAGGGACCCTAAAGGAGAAAGCCCAGCACAGCCTTAAGCAGGAGGACCAGGAGGGCTGCAGGGTTTCTCAAGAAAGCCCTCGGAGCCCCAGGCAGGTGAAATCCAACCTGTTTCTCTTCCTTCTCCCAATCTTTTACACAGGCCACAGAGGGCCCCCAGGCAGAAATGCACCAAATAAAACAATGAGGCTGGCGTGTTCTGCCTCCCTTTTACAGAGACAGATAATCCTACTATCAGCAAGACTTCTTGGGGCAAAACAGAGAGACCAGGGTTAGTCTTCCACCTCTGGCCCCCACACCATGGTCCTTCTGAAGGGACCACAGCAGCGAAATTGCAGATGCCCCTCCACGGAGCAAGGAGGGGAGGGACCGACCTTCCTCCTGCTCCGAACCACTGGGCTGTGGGGAGCTGAAATCTCACAAAAGCACTTTTGTGTGGCTTCACTTCCCGTTACTATCGCACTGCCAAAAACTACAGCAACAACACAGTGAAAGCGTGCAAAAGCCGACACAGACCTGATAGCTAAGCACAAGCACATGTGGGCCACTCCGAGGGTGCCATCTGGAGGGGGCTGTGCCTACCTGGCAGACAAGTCCCAGTCCTCCGTCCTTGGCAGGAGCCTGCCCACCCCACCCACCTCTGTGCCTCTTTCCAACCCTAGAAGCCTCCTCCCAGCTCCTTAGAAAAACTTCCTGGCAGGTCTTTAGGGAAAGTCATAGCAACCCCCTTTCCCAATCCCCAGACATTGCACCAGCTTCCTCCTGTGTCCCCCCAAGGCCCTAGGACCACCTGGTCTACCCGGCTTAGAAGCTGCAGGACCTGGAAGACACCACCCTACCCTGATGACAAGTCAGATCAGACCCGCAGTTAAAAGCCTATCCCCCATCTCACCTATCCCCTCCTAAATTGTTTTTTCCACTTTCTAGATCATTCCCAATTGGAATTGATTTTAAAAAATTTAAAAAAGTGGTGCTGACCTTTGCAGAGATCTGGGAAGCTCCACAATGCAGTCTTTCCGACAAACTCCCCTTTCAAAACTGGTAAATGTTAGACTTTCGAAAGTTAAGGGGAAAACATGAGGCCTTTTGCAGCGGTTCCTCTCCAGAGTTAATGACGCGGATGCGGATGCAACGCAAACTTTTAAAAAGGGCATTACTGTCTGCCTCAGGAGCAACACCAGGAACTCTGCCCCCTCCCTCCCAGCCGGCTGTGCCCACACTTGGCCAGAAACAAAAAGGGGGTGAAATGAAACTTACTCGAGTATCCCGTTAGTTCCCCCACTCTGAAGCCCCCGATTCCCTAACCCAGTTCTACTCGATTTAGTGCCAGTTACTGTCACGGCAACGCAAACCCCTCCTCTCCCCAAAAGGGGGCAGTGGGCGCAAAAATAGTTATCTGTTTGCAAAATACATATGACCTGTGACATTCGGTAGCGTCAGATCCTCTCTTCCCAAGGCCTTCCGATACGTCCACCGTGCACGTGTGCACAAGTGAGGAGTGTGAGGCTGTGCGTGCTGGTATGTGAACGTGCGCGCTCCCTCCTCCGCAAGGGCGCCGGGTCAGACTCGGACGCGCACCCCCGCTAGGCGACAGGCTCGGCCCCAAGCTGCTTTTCAGCGGGGAGTCCCTGGGTGGCGCGGCTGCCCCCGCCCTGGCCCAGCCGGCCCGCATGCTACCTGCAGCCGCACGCCTCCACCACCATGTCCTCGTATTGCTTGTAGACCACGTTGTTGGCGGCGTCGATGTAAAGGATGCTGATAGGGCTGAGACGCGCGGGCACGCAGCAGGAGGCTGGGGCCGCATCCGGGGCCATGGAGTTCAGCAGCGTCTGAATGATGGCGTGGTTGGTGGGCTCAAGGTGCGAGCGCAGCGGGAAGTCACACACGCCCTCGCAGTGGTACGCCTCGTAGTCCAGGGGCGCGATGATCCAGTCGTCCCAGCCCAGTTCCTTGAAGTCCACGTGCAAGGGCTTGCGGCTACAGCGGCTCCGGCCCCTGCGACCGTGGCCCCGGACCGCGCCCCCGCCGCTGCCCTGAGCTGCCCGCGCCGCGGCCAACGCCGTCCGCCGCCGTCTGCGGCCGCCGATGACCGCGGTGGGCGAGCCCACGCCGGGTCCCGGATCTGGCGGCGGCTCCGCGGCCAGCGCGGCCCCGAGCGCGCGCGCCTGGGAGCGGATCTCTCGGAACAGGCTCTCCTTCCTCTGCGTGCGGGAAGAGACCACCAGCAGCGCGCGCTCCTCCGCTGCCGCGCCGCCGCCGCCCCGTGAACCGAAGCCCAGCAGCCGCAGTGCCAGCGGGACCCGCGCCGAGCCCGCCACTCCACGCAGCGAGAGGCAGAACGCGCGGCTGGGGCGCGGTTCCCGGCGGTGGCGCTGTAAGGCGTCTGCCACGTCGAACACCTCCCAGCGCGCGGCGTCCAGGGACTCGGCGGCCCGGGAGTGCAGCAGGCGCGGGGCGCGCGCGGCGCTGGGGCACGTGGACAGCAGCAGCAACGGGGGACTCGCGCTGCCCGGGCCCCGCGCTTCGGACTCGCGGCGCAGTACGCGCAGCTCCGCGCCCAACACTTCGTCTGCGTCGGGAAGGCTGGACACGTCGAACAGGAAGTTCAGGCCCGTCTCGGCTGCCGATTCGTCTGCAGGGGACGGGCAGAGACCGAGAAAGAAGGGAGTGAGAGCGAAGCGTGCACTCCCTAACTGCGAACAGTCCCAACTGCCCTGGATGTGGGAGCAAGGCTCGCTAGGGCCGGCGCCCACTCGGACGTCTCGACTCCAGTCCGAAAGCCTTCAGCCTGGCCCAAAAGAGAGGGAGCCGTCGCTCAGGTTATCGGGATGTGAGCTTTGATTCGAGCTAAATGATGTCCGACAACCCAACCAACTTAGCGCACCTCGTCGGCACCCGAGACTACAGTTCGGCTGTCTGCCCCAGAGCCATGGGTTTTCAAAGACTAGGGCGGAGGCCAGAGTTTCGGCCGGTGGCAGAAAAAAGAGGCCTGGTGGGCGCATCAGAAGTCGTGCACCTCTTCAAGACGTGGAGGCCAGGCCAGACACGGTCCGGGGACTGCTCGTTATGGCCCTCCTTATCCACCAGGAGAGTCTCAGAGTCTCGGTTGGGCGAAAACCGAAAGTTCTTGTCCCCTGAAAACTGCTTCTGGGGCTTCTCTTCCCTAGCCCTGCCTGGACATTCCAGCCGGACACGATCTCCCGTGCAGGCTAGGCCTCCGAGATTCGTCCAGAAGGGGCACGCGTCCCCAGGGCTGCATACACCCTTGCCCGCATCCAGCCTCCTCGCTCTGCCGGAGGGGAACTGAGGCCCAAATAGGGACCCGGCTCAGCCCCTGGTCGCCATGGGGAACTCCAGGCTCAAGCTTCTCCCAGTGTTTCCGCCACCTCCGACGGAGGGGAAAGGCGGCAAAGGAGCGCAAGCCACTTTCTGGGAAGGGCTTGAAGCGGCCGGGACGCCCTGCTGCAGGAAAGGCAGAGGACCGACTGGTCTCCCTGCCAGGGCCCGCTGGTCCCCTCGCAGACCTAGTCTTTCCCTCCGTTACGACTCAACTCGGCCTCTGGGATTTTACTTCTGGTCGTAGACACTTTTTTCTTTGGGGGCTCAGAAAGGAAGAAAAGAGTTGAAATTCCACCAAGCAGCAGATAAGGAGCTCCCTTTGAAGAAGGTCATATGGTTTCGTTTTGCCCCAAACGCGTAGAGACTGTGCAGACTCCCCCCACTGTTGGAGTGTTGCTCACCAACCACTGGACGCCAAGCCTTCGACTCCTGGGGGCTGAAGTGTGGGTGCTGCTGCAGCCTCTGGAGACCTCAGGCAGCCGTGCTGTAAGTGGAGGCTCAGGGCAGAAGGCAAGCAGGAGAGACACTGGGCAAAGTGCTCCTTCTGTCTCCCCATGCTTTCTCCCCGGAGCTTTGGGAGCAGCAGCACTCTCTCTGAGCTTCCCCTGCAAGCCTCTCCCTGGTTTGAGATTCTGCCGCTGCATCCTCTCCGAAATTTCCTGGGATTTAGCTCAGGCTGAGGCAACTGCAGGCCTAACTCGATCTAAGGAAGAGCATCTGGTGCCTCTACAAGCTCAGGGCCATACACATCTCACCTCTCCCACAGCTGGGAGATCCCCTCCCCAGGGTCTGCACAGCAGGACTCAGGCTCCCTACAAGTGCCCTAGCATCCCATCCAGGGGGCATCCCAGGCTCTCAGAGAATGCTTGAAATTTTCCACCAGACTTTAGGGCCATTTGGGCCCAGACGGTCCCTGCATTCCCAAATAAAGTAGCCTGTGTAGACCCTGTGTGTATGCTGGAGGGAATGAGAAACCTGATTACTGTCCCTCCTCTACCTGCTTTCCCAGGCTAGCGACGGACATATAGAACCCCTTCAGTGGCTCCCGGGCAGGGCCTGGGTGGCAGCAGCACTTACTTCCCAGCCTTATTGCCTTTCTTTCCCTCCTGCCTTCCAGGCTGGGTCTCTGGCTGGATAGAATTAAGGCCGAAATTACTTGCATTTCCGCCTGAAATTAGTTAAATTTTCCCTATCTGTCTGCTCTAATGGCTTCAATAGAGATTAATAAAATCCAGATGACACTCCCCAGCCACCACTGCCTCACCCAAGTCCTACCTTTGGAGGGCTCAGGGTGGAGCAAGGTGGGGTCCTTGGCCCAGAGAGGCCTGAATTCCTGCAGGTTCGCGGGCCCTCCTCTCCTCCCTGCATAAGCTCCTCGCCTCTACCTCTGCCTCCCCAGGGACCCAGCAACAGACAGGCACCCGCCTCCACACAGACCAGCCTGCTGAGAAGCGCCCTCCTCGCACCTGGTGATGCCACCAGCCTCTCCGGAGCCCTGTACTTTAGTCTGATGCCCGCTCTGTCCCGCGTTCCCCTCCGTTTCCCCCAGTTTGTAAGGCTCTCCCCGCAAGATTGGGAGCTGCAGAGCAATCAAGCAGCCATCGCCGCGCAACTGCTCAGTCCCTCTGTGCCGAATCCCCTCCTTGCTTCTCCGGATCTCCAACTCAGCCCGCCTCCTCGAAGGGACCCGCGGGGCCGGCAGGACGAGGGCAGCCCGGGCAAAGAACGGGCTGAGCCTTCGGGGGCCGCGGGCCCCCGCCAGCTGCCGCGGTTCTAGCCAGAGTCCAGGCGCTGCGAGCTCGGGTGCGTGGGCCTCGGAGAACTTTCTAACACCTGAGCCTGGGCTGTGCGGGTACCGAGGTCCCCACCCCCCCCCCCCCAACACACACAACGAGGGGAATGGTGCTGGGGCTCAAGACAGGGTGGACGGGCGCGGTGACGGCACAGTACCTGCGGTCGCCTGGTCCGCGAAACCGGTGACTGTGTCCGCGCGGCCAGATCCCGAGGTGGAGGCGGCGACTGGCCCGGCCGGAGTCCTCCCGGCTAGGCTTCTGTAAAGCGACATCATGAACTGGTGCGGCACCACCGAGCCGTTCCTGAAGCCGGAGCCCGTGGCGCGGTGCGCACCGCGGGGCCCGGGAGACGCGGCGGCCAGGGCAGCGGAGGCGCCTGCAGCTGCGGCGAGGGTTGTCCCGCCGCCGCCGCCGCCGCCCCCCGGACTCTCGGCCGGCCCTGCCCCCGCCGCCCGCAGCACTGCGGCCGCTTCTAGCCCGTCGCGGGGGCGGCAGGCGCTCAGCAGCCAGAGGCACAGCGCGGCGGCCGCGCTCAGGTCCATGGGCTCCGAGGGCCAGGCGGGCGGGCGGCGCGGGCTCCGTGGCTTCGGGAAGTCCCCCGGCGCCTTTTGAACATAATGTTTAATAATGGGGGAAGTGTGCGCTGCAAGCTGCGGCCCCCCCTCTCCCATCCCACCCCACCCCCGTCCAACGCCCGGAGCAGCGCCCCCTGCTGAACGCTCGAGCCGCAGCGCCGCGCCCCCTACTCCGGCCTAAAGCCGAGCCCCGGGCCGGAGCCTCCTTGTCCCACCCGAGGTCTTCGTCCCGACTCTCGCCAGGCGAGTGTCACCGACCCGAGGCTCCCGCCACCCACCTGGGCCCCGCCTCGCTTCCCCGGGGCCAGGAGACCCCCCCCGCCTCCTCCCACGCTGCGCCCGGGGCCAGATGCGCCCTCGGGAGTCAGAGGCTCCGAGGCCTCGCGCGTACCCGCCCAGCTCCTTCCCCACTCCCCTGCGGAGAAGCACCCGCCCCCTCCCCGCTCCTATTCCGCCCGAGACGCCGGAGGTGGGGCGGCGGAGGGGCTCGCCCCGCCGGTCAGTGCCACGATCCCGTGGCCAGGGCGCACAGAGAGGCCACGAGGGCGCACAGAAGCCGCAGAGCGCTTGGGGTCGCCGCCAAAGCGCGTTTTTGTTCATGGGTCCGCGGTTCCCCACCCTGGCACAGCCTCCAAAGATCGGAGCGGGAGGCGGGAGCAGGAAAGAGGAACGGTAGGGAAGGGAGGGTTTAGGGGCCTGAAAGGACAGGCCGGAAAGACAGCTGGACGAGGACCGACGGTCGAACCAGCAAAGGTAGGGGTGCGGAACGCGCGCTTAGACGGGCGCCAGGATCTTAAAGGAGTTCAGGAACTACGAAGGCAACTTCGGGGTGACAAGGGGGTTCCCTCGCGGGAGCGGCTCAAGTTCATCTGCGCGTGGACAGTGAGGACTCCTTCCGCCCGCCCGCCTCCACGGGAGCCCCGGCGAACGGAAACGGGCTCTCGGGTATGTTGGGACGCGCCTGGAGCCGGGAGGGGGAGCGGCGAAGAGCCTCGGGATAGTGCCTCTGTACTTCCTTCCCGGGCCGCGGTTCTTGAGCTGGGTTTGGGGGTAGCAAGGAGGATGGAGGGGGCGCCCAACACCGCCGTCGCAAGGGCGGCGGGGCGCTTGAGTGCGCAGCCAGCCGAGGTAGCTCCCAGAGGCCGCATCTCAGGGAGATGCGCCGGGGAGAGAAGTCTGGGTGTCGGCTCAGCTCCACCAGCAGCCGGGAGATCCGTCCGTAGAGGGCCAGAAGGCTCAGCGGATGGACGATCTGCTGGTGGGCGGACAGAGGGCCGGAGCCTGACCTATCCCCGTAGCAGGGCAGGCGCATCTTTTTCTTTTAACATTGTATTTGCTACCGAGCTCTAAATCTAGATGGGGGCAGTGAGTCACGGTTTGAATAGCTGATCAGTGTCAATGAGACGCCTTGGGACCCAAAATCGCAGGAGTTTCGCTCTTGCTTGGCCTCCGCGTGCTCCGACCCACTGAGGATGCCCGGCGTCTGGAGCTCCTGGGCCGCCGGCGGCCCCAGGCTCCCAAACTCCCCTGTACCCGCTGCTTCTTCCCAAGTGAACTCCCCAGTCGTCATCCTGCTGACCACTGCGAAGATGCAGTGCCCGCTCAGCGTGGGACTTTGTGTCACTCACAACTTGGGATTTAGGGGGACAGGAGAGACCTGGCAAGGGGTCAGACCCCAAGCGGATCAGGTGGACGACGAGGGGGAAAAAAAGCCTGAGGTTCGCGTGGGAATGTCTGGGGGGGCTGGGATTAGTGGGGCTGCACTAACCCAACAGGATTTGGGGGCCAAGGACCCAGAGCTTCGACAAGGCCGCTGTCAGGGATCTTGCTCTCTGGTGGTGCAGGTACAGAGCAGATCTGCAGGGGTCCAGGCAGGCTGCCTGGCAGAACTGCCCCCCTAGAGAGAGACACTGGTCAAAGTAGTGGCCCCACTGCCACAGCTGTCTCTATGAAGGCAACGACTGGGTCCCTGCTGTCTTTCTTGGCTTCCTTTCTTCCTGCAGCCACAGTGAACAGTCTTCAGATGTTTTGCATATCATCAAGACCCTGATTTGTGCAAACACTCTGGCATCTCTGAGCTGGAGTCCAGTAGTCGTGGTTCTTGTCTTAGTTTTGCTGTTAACAACCAGACCCCATTGCATCGTCTGGGCTTCAGTTCCTCCAATTGTGTGAAGGCGAGAACCCGAAGGGTCCTGGCACTGGCCTGGCAGAGCAGGTGCCAAATAAACCTTTGCTGATTGCATGATACCTCCACCTTGAGGCCGCTCAGGAGCTTAAGAATGAGGAGTGGGTTGGAACCCCTGGGCCCTTGCTGTCCCTAGGGGAGCGGGGACAGCAAGCTCCTTTGAGCCTGAATGTCCTCATCTGTGTCTCCCGCATCACAGGCAGATGCTTTACCCTCTGAGCCACCACAGAAGCCCTCTGTAAAACGGGGAGATTCTCAATTCAGGAAGTTGGTGTGGATCTAGGATAACAGGTGGGCACAGAGGGGGCTCGGAGCCTCACCCCTCCCAGTCTGTTCCGGATCCCTAGGGTGATGATGGCTGATAAAGCAGCAGCTTCTAGGCACTGGAAGGCTCTGGAGGAGAGTTCTGGGGGTGGGCTGCTGCTGCTGGAGCCCCCACCCATCACGTGTGGGGCTTGAGCCAGGCCTCAGCCACTGTCACCTGTGTTTCTTGGTCTGTCAAGTCAGCCAACAGTGCATTTCTTCATCATTTAGCCCTCCCTCTATTCATTTCTTCCTTCCAGTAAATACTTAACCGTGAGTGGCTCTCCGTATATTGTGAATTCAGCAATACACAGGACAAGTGCACCGAGCTCTGGTAAGGGTAGAAGATAAGGTAAACACTTACATGCATAAGTGCATCTGAGTATATGGTGCACTGTGAGGTGGTTCAAAGTAAAGTGATGGGGGACTTCCCTGGCAGTCCAGTGGTTAAGAATTTGTCTCGCAATGCAGGGGACACTGGTTTGATCCCTGGTTGGGGAACTAAGATCTCACATGCAGCAGAGCAACTAACTCAAGTGCCACAACTAAGCCCTGATGCTGGCAAAAAAAATAATAATAATAAACTGATGGGAATCAGGGCCTGGGGGTCTTTTTGACCAGCAGTGGCCACATTGAAGCAGAGCCCAGAAGGGAGAGAGGCAGAAGGAAGTTTTGGTCATGCCTGGCTCCCTCTCCTTCCTCTCAAATAATGATGGTAACCAATGGTTACCACTAACCAAATGATAATGATGGTTCTCCAAATACTAGCTGCTACTGCTAAGTCACTTCAGTCCTGTCCGACTCTTTGCGACCCCATGGACTGTAGCCCACCAGGCTCCCCTGTCCATGGGATTCTCCAGGCAAGAATACTGGAGTGGCTTGCCGTTTCCTTCTCCACCAAGTGCCAGGCATGTTGCTAACTGCTTAAGTGACTTCATGTCACTTATGTCTCACCACTACTCTGTCCTGTGAGGTGTGCGTGTGCCTGCTCAATCGCTACAGTGTATCCAACTCTTTGCAACCCCGTGGACTGTAGCCCGGTAGCCCGCCAGGCTCTCCTGTCTATGGGATTTCCCAAGCAAGAATACTGGAGTTGGTTCCCATTTCCTTCTGCAGGGGGTCTTCCCAACCCAAGGTTCAAACCTGCATCTCCTCTGTCTCCCACATTGCAGACAGATTCTTTACCCACTGAGCCACCTGGGGAGCACTTCAGGTATTAGTGTTCCCATTTTATTGACACAGTTGAGTCACAGAGAACTGTAACGCCTTCCGCAGGTAACCTGGTGAGCGGCAGAGCCTGGAGTCACCTGTCTTTGCCCGACACTTGGCTGCTCACAGCAGAGATGGGCTCGTAGGGGTGTGACCTGCAACACTCCTCAGCTCCAGTGGAGAGGCAGAGGGCCCTACCTTGCCCTGCAAGCTCTCCTGAAAATTCTTGGCAGAAAGAGAACTCTCAGGTCCAGCTGAGGCTTATGAAAGCATCATCTTGAGGACTCCTTCCTGCCTCTGGCATCAGCTGGGAGCCCGCCAACTGAACACAGTCTGTCATCGGCAGCGGCAGGGCCTGCCCGGGGCTGGAGAAGCCACGGACCTCAGAGCAGGACCAGCCGGTAGGAGCATGTGGTCTGACAGCTGAGTTTACATGAAGCGACCTGATGGCCTAGCGAGTCAGGCCCACGGCGAGGGCTCGACTTGGACCAGGTCGCCCATGCCCCGTCCAGGGCTTCCCTGGGAGCCGTGACTGAGCATCCATCTGGAGTGAAGACAACTTCCTCCCTGAGGACAGGAACGGGACACTAGGAGTTCCTGACCCGCCATCCCTGACTTCGTGAAGTTGAGGCCTTCTGATGAGCGGGTGGCTGGCCTCCTGGGGCCCACAGGGCCAGGCCAGCCCCAGGCTCACTTGCAGCTTCCTCCAGGGTCACGGGGGCCTGTGGTAGGTGGGCCAGGCAGGTGGGAGATACCTATCCTGGCCTGGAGATGTTGTACCCTGCCTGCTGCGCGGCCAACTTTGAAGGTGGCTTCCTAGTCCCCTGTGTTGTCCAGCAGTCACGGGGCAGCTGATGCAAGAAACTTAGAGACAGCTGGAAGAAAACTGGGGGCTTCAAGTTCCAACTTCTGTTCTTTATTAGTCTGAAGGCCATCCCCCCCTCCCCCCAGTGTCCCAAGAACTCCAGACCTCAGCTGTTAGCTCCTCAGAGAGCGGAGGTGAGATTGGCTCCACCAAGCCAGAGGCTTGGTGGGGGAGGACAGGGAGGCAGCCTGGTTGGGGGGTGGGTGTTTCTTAGTTGGGGTGGGGAGAAGTGGTCCCCACATTCTCAACCCCAGATCCTTGCCTTGGAGAGCACTTGGCCACTCCTCTGTCCTCTGCAGAAGCTGTTTGCTTTCTCTGGCCACCATGTTTCTGACTCAGGTCCTATAGTTCAAGGATTTGAAAGAATTTGCTGTTGTTGCTCAGTAGCTAAGTTGTACCTGACTC